ACAAAAAAAAAAAAAAAAAAAAAAAAGCGAAATGGAGTAATTTAACCTAAAGATGTATCAAGTTGTTCCCACCCTGGATCTAAGTTGGCCTGATGCAGAACCTCAGGGGTCACAGAGACATGTTTGGAGGCGCCCTGGAAATGCAGCCAGAGAGATCGAGAGTGTGAGAGACTCTACCAGACATACAACTGAACTCACAGTAAAGAGAAAATCGAGAGAAAGCATAGACATTGGGAGACATTGAAGAGCCATCAGCTAATGCAACAGATGTATCTCATTTCAGATGAGAAAAGCAAGTGAGGCAAGTGGAATTCTGAACCCTGGACATTTTATGATATTATGGAGTTACTGTGAATTTCTAGATATGATAATGAATTGTCTCTATATTTTTGAAATACTTAATTTTGGAGATGAATAGTGAAGTTTTAAAGAAATGATATAAAGTCTGATATTCAGGGTTGGGGAGAGAAGAGTGAAATGTGATTATACTTGGAGACCTGGCGACATGGGGTGCTTATTTCAAGAGCTCCTAGATTGTTGTCTGTTTCTTTGAAAGTTCCCAACTAAAAGGTGTTTTTTTAAAAAAAAAATCCCAAAGTGGTGGCACACTGGTGATTCCAGTGCTCTGGGAGGGCAAGTCAGAAGGAATGCAAGTTTGACCCCAGTCCAGGCAACTTTAGTAACTTGCCAAAAGCCTGTCTCAAAAAGTAAAGAGCTGGAGATGTAGTTTAGTGCAGAGGCCCTAGATTCAGTTCTCAGCACCACAGAAACAAAAGCAAAACAAAACTGTGACATTATTATAACGTCACTGTCCTGTTTGCACCTGTGAAGTTTGCCAGGTTATAACATCACATGAATGGCAACGTCTTGACCCACAGAGAGACTGCCCGTGGATGCCTGGCAAAACATTCAAAAGTGCTTCCCCAGTGCCACACACACGTTTACTTTTGAGACAAGCCTGCTGCCTTCTACCTACCTATCTCCATTCAGGAAATCCAGGTCTCCTCTGCACTTGCAAACCAAGACAGCTTTTCCTGGAGCTGTCTTCTAAGTTATCTAAATTGTGGGATTCTTGCTTTCCTATTGGATGCCTCCTGTACTGCAAAGCTGCGACCAGATTTTTTTTAACAGAATAAAACAAAGAACAGTGACAGCTAACACGTGCTTGGCTTGCGCCTCCTCCCCTGAGGCTTCACGCACAGTGACCACAGCCAGCCTCACTCCCGCTCCACTCTGGCTCTGTACAGATCAGCATGGAGCACAGAGGACCTCAGGACTTCAGTCTTCACCTGCGGTGACGGAAGGGGTGATGGAAAAGGGACATTTTCCTTTTTCTTTTCCTTTTTATCTTTCCTTTCTTTTTCTATTTAGACTTCATGCTTTTATTCTTGCTTGTAGAGAAGAATAAAAGAATTGAATGAATGAGGCTCTCAGAATTGCTTGTTTCATGGTTCAGTTTTTTTCCTTAAATAATCTCACACAGAACCATTTGAAACGGCCATTTCTGCATGGCAGCAGGGACAGACATCAGTGGTCTGTCCACTTTTAACCAAGGTGTCCATCCCCCATGGGAGCAGTGTCATTTTCCCTGTATGCAAGCAGCACCTTCCCCTGCAGCACAGAGCTGGGGCTCTAACCGTGGGCTGCAATGCGGTGACTGCCCACACAGGCAGCCGGGCTGGGCCTCCTCCTTCCATCCCTCATGCAGGGGCTGTCACACCCCAACAGGCCCATCGCTCCTTTGTGGATTTCTGCGAACATGAAAATCACGGTGCATCCTCTGAGGAAGGAGAGTTGATCCCACTCCAGCCCTGGGCAATGGCACAGGATTCCACAGACTGACCTGTCTCCGTGGAAACGGGCCTGACCTTACTTGTGCCCTCCTCTCCCCTGACCAGCTCTGAGCTTCGCGGCTCCAGGGAGAACTTGTGGAGCACCAGGCAGCCATGCTGAGCGCTGAGCTTAGGCTTGTGGCCAGATTCCCACCTGAGACTCGCCCTGCAACACAGTTCAGGAGAGAAAAATCACACTTTGTCCCTGGAGCTCAGATGTTTGAAATGTTTTTCCTAATCTGTATGTAGCAGGGTGATCAGATTATATAATGCGTGTTTGAATTTTTTTTTTTTTTTTTTTTTTTTTTTTTTTTTTTTTGCCTTTTTGAGACAGGGTCTCACTATGTGTTTGAGACTGACCTGGAACTCACTATGTAGCCCAGGCTGGTATCGAACTTACAGCGATCCTCCTGCCTCAGCCTCCCACCTGCATGTTTGAATTTTTAAAATCTATTACAGTTGGGCCG